AGTGGCCTGGCTTTTCAGTCAACAGTGAATGAACACACTAACTGCTCATTCCACTTCTAACTTCACATGAGCAACGGGCTGGATTTTATGAAGCTCATTGAGGCTGGAACAATGGCAGCTTGATGCACTTAATCCCCAGAGTCTCCTGGTGGCAGCAAAAACTCATCTGGTTAAACCAGACAGTGGAAGGAGATTGACATGGGATTCTCCAACGTTGGTGGCAAGAGTGTCAAGAGTGTAACAGTGAGTGTATATCTCTGTGTGTGTGTGTGTGTGTGTGTGTGTGTTTGTGTGTGTGTCTGTGTGTGTGACTTTTGTCCCTGGAGCATTAAAGGTTGAGGGGTGACCTTATAGAGGTTTATGAAGTCATGAGGGGCATGGATAAGATGAATAGTTAAAGACGTTTTCCAAGGGTAGGGGAGTCCAAAAGTAAAGAACATAGGTTTAAGGTGACAGGGGAAAGATTCAAAAAGGACAACTTTTTCACACAGAGGGTGGTTCTTATGTGGAATGAACTACACAGGAAGTGATTGGTGTAAGTACAGTTACAACATTTAAAAGACATTTGGACAGGTATGTGAATAGGAAAGGTTGAGAGAAATATGGGCCAAAAGCAAGCAAGTGGGACTAGTTTAGTTTTGGAAACTGGGTTGGCATGGGCGAGTTGGATCAAAGGGTCTGTTTCCATGCTGTATGACTTCATGACTCTATAAGCTCATAATTGACCTGTCCTGGTCCACATGTGACTCCAAATCCAACACAATGTTGCTGACTCTTAATGCCCCTGAAATGGCCTAACAAGCCACTCTGCAAAGTCCTCCTCACTACCAACTGGAAACTTCTGTGAAAATTGGGAGAGCTGTCCCACAGAGTACTCAAGCAACAGTTTGACACAGTCAAATCTTACAGACAATGTCCCAGGCATCACTGTCAACATCCCTGGGAATGTCCTGTACACATCGGCAGGGAAGACTTACCCAGCAATGTAGATGCCAGTCTTCAACCAATTTGATTCATTCCAAGAGGGGCAGGGTTGTAGTATACAGTTGGCAAGGAACTGAGCTGCAAGTCCTCAACATTGGCTCCATGAATTTTTATGGGCAAGGAACCTCATGCTGATTATCACGTATCGTCACACCTCAGCTGGATGAATCAATATTCCTCCATGTTAAATACCACTTGAACGAAGCATTTGAGGGTGGCAAAGGCACAAAATGTACTCTGTGTAGGAACCTCAATGTCCATCACCAAGTGCGGCTTGGCAGCACCGTGATTGACCCAGCTGGCCGGGTGCTAAAGGACATAGCTGTGAGACCAAATCTGTGACAAGTGATTAATGAATCAAGAAGAAGAAAAAATCTACTTGACCTTGGCCTCACTTGTTAGCTTGCCACAGTTGCATCTGTCCATGACAGAACTGATAGGAGTGACTACCCCTGGGGAGGTGCAATCCCACCTTCACAATGAGAATACTTCACATTGTGTGGTGTGGCATGACCATTGCGCTACATTTCAAACAGACCCAGCAACTCAACACTAGGCATCCATGAGACATTGTGGGCCACCAGTAGCAGCAGAATTGTTTTCAACCACAACCTGTAACACCAAGGTACAGCATATCCCCCACTTTACGATTACCATAAAGCCAAGGGATGATACCTGGTTCAATGGAGAGTGCAGGAGGGCATGTTAGGAGTAACACCAGGCATAGCTAAAACTGAGATGTTAAACTAGTGAAGTTGCAACACAGAACTACTTGCCTGCAAAACAGCATTAGCAACAAGTGACAGATTTTTTAAGATCATGCAATGAGTAGATCTAGTCTAAGGTCTGCAGTGCTGTCATATGCAGTTGTGAATGATAGTGGACAATTAAACAGCTAACAGGAAGAAGAAGCTCCCAAACATGGAGCCCAGCACAGTACAAAAGAAAAAGGCTGAAGCATTTGCAAGCATCTTCAACCTGAGGTGCTGATTGGGTGATCCCTCTTGGACAACTCCTGAGGTCCCCAGCATTGTAGATGCCAGTCTTCAACCAATTTGATTCATTCTACATGATTTCGATGAACAGCTGAAGGCACCTGACACTGCAAAGGCTTGAGCCTTTACAACATTCCAGCAAATATTGAAGACTGAAACACTGAAGACATGTTCCTGAACCAACCACACCCCAAACCAGTCTGTTTCAGTATGGCTACAACAATGGTATCTGCGACAATATAGAAAATTACCCAGGTATGGCCTGTCCAAAAAGGCAGGATAAATCCATATTGGCCAACTGCTGTCCTGTGAGAATACTCTCAAAGATTTTTAAAAAAATTCTCTCATGGGTTTTGGGCATGGGCCACCATCAGTAAAGTGATGGAAAGGTTCATCAAACAGTGCTATCAAGCAGTGCTTGCTCAGCAATAACCTGCTCACTTGGACTCATTTTAGGTTTCATCAGCTCCATGCAGATCCTGACCTCATTACAGCTTTGATATTCAAACCTGGATAAAAGAGCTGAATTCCAGAGGTGAGATAAAAGTGACTGCCCTTCACAACAAGGACTCAAGTGTGGTATCAAAGAGCTCGAGTAAAGCTGGAATCAATGGAAATCCAAAAGGGGAAACTCTCTGCTGTTGGAGACATACTAAACACACAGGACAATGGTTGTGGTTGTTGGAGGTCAGTCATCTCAGCTCCAGGATAGCTTTTCAGTGTAGTTTCCTAGGCCCAATCATCCTCACTGGATTCATCAATGACTTTGCATTACCATAAACTCAAACTGCGACTGTTCACTGATAATTGCAAAGTGTTCAGTCCAATTCATGACTCTTCAGATACTGAAGTCTGTGTAGCAAGACCAGAGCAACAGTCAGGCTTGGGCTGAGAAGTGGCATATAATATTCATATCACATGTGTGCCTGGTAATAATCATCTCCCCTGGTGTTAAATAGCATTACCATTGTAGAATTCCCTACCATTCACATCCTGCTGATTACCATTGACCAGAAACTGGAACGGTCATGATAAATATTTTGGTATTTCACCATGAAATTCACCAAAGATCATTAGACAGTATGTTTCAAACCCACAACCACTTCAATCTAGAAGGACAGGGCAACAGATATATGGAAACACCACTATCTGCAAGTTCCCCTCCAAGCCACACCATTCTGACTTGGGAATATATTGCCATTCTTTCACTGTCATTCGGTCAAAATCCTGGAATTCCTTTCCTGGGGACAATGTGCGTCACTGCAGCACATGGACTGCAGCGGTTCAAGAATGCAGCACACCACCTTCTCAAGGGAAGCTAGGGATGGGCAATAAATGCTGTCCAGCCAACAATGCCCATGTTTCATGAGTGAACAAAAAATTCATTTGAAAAGCAGATCAGCTTTTCACCAGGGTGATATCGGAGGGGACGGCAGGATTATTACATGAGGAGAGATTGGTTCGATGAGGCCTGTATTCACTAGAGTTTAGAAGAATGAAAGAAGATCTGATTGAATCATATAAAATTCTATCAGGGCTGGACAGATTAGATGCAGGGAGGATGTTTCTCCTTGTTGAGAAGTCGGGAACCACGGGTGTCAGGGTACAGGGTGGGTCATTTCGAACTGTAATGAAGAAACATTTTTTTATTCAGAACCTATGAAATTCACTGCCAAAGAAGGCTGAGGTTTAAGAAAGAGACTGATTTTTTAAAAAAGATATTAAAGGCATCACAGGGTATGAAGAGAAAGCAGGACTGTAGTGTTGAGATAGAGGGTCAGCTATGATCACATTGAATAGCAGGTCAGGCTTGAAGGTTTAGGGATGACCTACTCCTAATCTCTATGTCTAAAAAAACACCTCCTGTCTCCCCAAAGCCTGTCTGCATCTACAAGGCACAGGTCAGGTGCGTAATTGAATACTTTCTACTTGCCTGGACGAGTACAGCTCTGACAAATTTGAGAAGCTCAATGTGAGTGAAAAAAAAAGCCCATTTGATTGACATCCCACACTCGATCTTCATCATTCACTCTCTTCCCCAGTAGCACATGGTAGCAACAGTGTCTTTAGACAGTGCCTTCCAAAGCCACCACCTCAACTACCTAAATGACCAGGGGTATAAAAGCATGGGAAAGATACAATCTCCAAGTTCTGCTCCACGTCACACACTCTCCTGACTTGATTGACATTCCTCCACCATCTCCAAGTCACAAAGCTGGGACTCCCCTCCTAACAACACAGTATTTACAACACAAGGATGGCAGCTGTTTCAGATGGGGTTTCACCACTGCCCTCATGAGGACAGTTAGGCACGGAGACCAAGAGATGCATGAAAGTATTAGAAGAAATTATGGATAGATTTCATGCAACATGAACTTTCAACATCATCAGAAGATTGACAGGTAAAAGAATGAGTTAATTTTTTACATCACTGTTTCACACAAATTTTAGGAGCTAAAGAACACCTCAAAGTGAGAACTGTCAGGGCCAGGAATGGAACATTCCTTTATTTGAATCATAAGATGGTTACGGTGGCAGGGTAGGAAGTGTTTGGGCTCTGTGCCCGTATGCTCCTGCTCGGCCGCATTCTTCTTTGTTTACTTTCGTCATTTCTTCACTCCTCTTTTGTATTAAAGTTCACTTTTTCTTCTTTTCTGTGGCCTGCAGTGGAGGAGGCCAGTTACAAGGGCCGTTGTGGCGGTGACAGCAGCATGGCGGACCTGGATGTTCATTGTTTGTGGCCGTGGCTTTATCGACACTTGTCTACCAATGGGTCTGGTCCATTTCTCCTGGCGGCAGTGTGGTGATTTCAGCGGAGGCAGCATGGTGATTCCGGTTCGTTCCTCATGGCCATGGCGGCAATGTGGCGGCTTCAAATGGCGAGTGAAATGGCGATGGCTTGAGTGATCTCTTCAGCATCGGGTGTGTCCAGTCTGTCCCTCCTTGCAATGGCAGCGATGCAATAGCGTCAGTGTCAGCTTTGGTGATGGCAGCGTGGGGGGTCTGGTCCAGAAATCCTACCTTTGGCAGCCTCAGGGGTGGCTTCGGCCACATAACCACAGGAGTGGAGGAAGGAACAAAACTTGAACTTTGTCTCAACTTTTTCTTCTTATAATTTCTGTAATTAAAATGATGCCAAGTTGTGGCGACTTATACACATCTTTTGTGTTTAGCTTCATGTAGAGACTTTTTTTTCCATAAACAGTGCGTCCCTTGCAATCATGTGTCCACTTCCACTGTCCAGTAACTAGTCTGTCATTGCAAGGCCAAAGTTGGTAACAAAGTAACCAGCTCTGATGAAGAGTCGTCTCGACCCAAACAATAGTTTGCTCTCTCTCCATGGATACCGCTTGACCCGCTGCAATTTCCAGCATTTTTTGTTTTCATGACAAAGTAAACCTTTTGTTACAGGAATTGGATGAATTTTTAAAAACTCTATGAACACTGGATACTGCATTGAATGCAAAAGCAATAGATAGGGGAAGCACATTATTATTAATAAGTTCTGTTCTACCCCACTCAATTGTTTGATATGAAGCATCAAATGTTCAGGGAAACCGTAGAGAAGCACAAGTGCAGTCCATTTCATTGTCTTCCCTAATCATTGATGAAGGAACATACTGCACAGTTGGAAAAGTCAAAAAATATTTCTCAAGTCGCTAGTTTTTATCCAGTGAACCAAAATAAGGACAATGGTTTGACTTTTCACTTGAACCATGACCAACAGCAATACAATGTTGGTAGTATCAGATGAAGCAGCACAGAATTCACTTCCATTTTAAATGCATCAGTTTTATGCAAAAGCCACTTAAGCCTGTATGGTATACACAGGTTGACAATTCAATGTTTCTAGATCAGGCCTTTTCCAAAAGCCAGTCAAAGTTGTAATTTCAACCAATCATGCTGGTCCAGGAGCACTAGTCAATTGTTAAGCACTTTTGAAATGCTTTTCATTTGAAAAGATATTGAATTTATTAAGAAACTGCCTGGATTACACTAACTAAGCTATTAAAAATCATTTTCAATGACTTAAAATCAGGTTATTTGCAGTTGGAGGACTGCTGCACTTACTTATTAAAACAATTTAATTCTGCTGATAAGGTTTCTTTCCACTGTATTAATAAAATTACACCAAGTTATCAAAGTATTAGGATCATATCTTAAATGGAAAGAAGGAAAAAGAAACAATTAGGTTTTGTTACACTGACCAATTGTGCTGAGTCATGAAATAATGCATTTGAGATTACGCAAATTAATTTTAGTGCACTCTTAAATCTATGACCTAATCAACACAATTTAAAGTATATTTTAAGTGAAATTTTCCAAACTGGAAACCCAGAGAATTTATTCACATCTGCCACTATGTAGCTATCCATCTGCAGGAAGCACTGGAGCATTGGACTCAGTACAATCTTGATCTTTATAGTGTGACAATATTATGGCTTTACAAAGTGTATTTTATCCTTTTTTTTGTGAAGAAAGGTTTTGTTTAAAGTTGGAGCAATACAGGCGGCCTGAATGGGTGGGGTCAAGCTCCCAAAGAACCAGAATTTTTAGTCTTAGCTTTCAGTAGCAGTTGCTGGGATCTTTAAGTCAGATGTGGAAGCTCTTATTCCTCTCTCTGTTACAGCTAAAAGCTGGGTTCTCTTCCTGCTGTTAGAATTGCATGTGAGACAATCTATTTTACTGCATTTGCCTTTGCCAAAGGACTGTTTATAAGATGTTACCATATCGGAACAGTTAATTAGTAATAGTTAAGAGATGTGTTATTTTGTTAAGCATTTCAATAGAGTTCAGTGAAACCAAATCTTTTTATTTTGTCTGTATTTTAACTGTAGTGTATAAATAAAATGTGCTTGCTTAAAGTCGAGTAATGTGACCAATCGAAGTTTATCTGCAACTCAACACCTTGCACTTACCTTTAAAAGAAAAGTTAGGGTCTTGGCTATCTTCTTAATATATTTTGAGAGGGTTTGGTCCGGTCCATAACAACGACCATCTCCAAATGCAGAGTGTTAATGCAATCTCAAGTGAAAACCTTAGTTGTGATTCCTGTCCATACTCCAGGGAGACATTGAGGACCACAGTACCACCCCATATTCCCTGCTGAGTTCTGATAACTTTGCCATCCCAGACAACGACAATAATTATATAAATGAAAGCTTCCCTACAAACCATGCATCTTTTGTTTCTGAATTGGATGTGTATCTCTGAGGTGCCATTCTTATGAAACAGTCATGGCATGTGTTTACATCTTGACTATATGACATGTTTCTGGAATGAATGTTACAAAACCCAACAAGCAAAAAAGCATGACCACACAGCCCATTGTATTAATCTTACTTTGAGCGACCCGGCTCACTGCTGCCTCCCGCACCCGACAGCTTTGGATAGGTCTCATGCCGAGAAGCTCCTTTGGGTGACATTTTCGGGCTTGCGTCAGAGTCTCCACTTTCGTCATCGCCCATTGCTTTGATGTAGCTGCCACTGCGCATTCTCCGACAAGGGATTTCACCATCCTTGTTCACTCCTGGATAGCCACCACCCCATTCATCCTGGGGCACCTGAACAATCAATACAAAACAGAACAGATGAAGGAGTTAAACCAAACACTGTGATGAATATTTCTGACTGAAAGAATATGTCTTTATGGAGCAATATGGGCACATCTTCCCATTTCTTCTTGACAAGTTGTTTTTCATTACACGACAAATTATACTTGTGTGTTATTTTAGCAACTTGAGTGCCTTTTTGAAAAGGTATGTAGATAGAACATTGTTAAGTTTTGTAACAAGGACACAGATAAAGCTCTCAGTCTGGCTTTGGAAAAGATGCCAATATTTCTGCCCTCAATCAGCGAGAGGAAATACCATTGCAATAGGGAAACATTGTCATTTGTGGGATGTAAGCTTTTATAATTTTAACAGCCTGTTGATGCCCTGTCAGTGGGGCATTGCTCTCTGCTCTGTAGATTATCTGAACATATGTTGCCTTCCTTCATTGTCACTACACTAAAATATTAAAATTCTTCACTAGTAGCATAATGGGGCCATTTTCACCTTAAACAGTGCAGCACTTCTAGATGGTCCACCATCTTCTTCTCAAGGCTAAATACAGTTGGTCAGTAAATTGTAACCTTGCCAGCAGATGCTACATTCCAAGAACGCATTATTTAGAAACAAAAATGGCTTTTTAAACCCTCTTATTATTGAAAACTCTTTATTTTTTAAATCCTGTTTAAATCTTTAGAAACTAACTTTAGCCGTGATCTCATTGCTGTTGCAAGTGAGCCAAGTCCGTCAGAACCAATTTATATATATCAGGAATCGACACAAGCCCAGAATAGTAATCCTTGAAAATAAGGATCTAATTAATCAGCATTAAACCAGTGTTTCTGTTTCTCATTCCAGTTCAGCGTATAGTTCTCAAAAGCAGAATGCTGAAAAATATACACACATCAATCCAATGCAGATCTACCCTACAATTATCCAAGTGATTTCAATACACCCAGATGTTTCATAGCTAAACACAATTCAACTATATGCAATTTTCAAGTGCCTGTCCATTCACTTGTCTGTTCTATTGCTCCTTGTTCAGAAAATAAACTTTGTTATCAGAGATGCAAAGGCATTTATAAGAAAATTCCATATGTTAAGGAGGAGATAGCGGTGTTGTGTTAGTGTCACTAGCCTAGCAATCCAGAGGCTCAGGCTAAAGCTTTGGAAACTGAGTTCAAATCCTAACATGGCTTTTGGCAGAATTTATATTCAATTAGTAAATCTGAAATGTAAAGCTTGTCTCATTAACGATGACCATAACAACCAGCGTCAACTGCTGTAAAGATCCATTTGCCTCATGCCCTTGAAGGAAGGGAATCTACCAATTATCCTACTTGTGGCTCCAAATGTGGTTGACACTTGACTCTTAATATCAACTGTGTTCAAGGGCAAATAATAATAGTGACAAATGAGGACATCACAGTAACGCTCATATCCCATGAAAAAGAATAAAGTTACACACTGATTACATGAGAGGCAACAAGGTGCAGAGCTGGATGAACACAGCAGGCCAAGCAGCATCATAGGAGCAGAAAGGCTGACGTTTCGGGCCTAGACCCTTCATCAGAAACATATTTGATTAAGTCAGAAGTCCTGACGAAGGAGCAGTGCTCAGAAAGCTTGTGATTTCAAATAAACCTGTTGGACTATAATCTGGTGTCATGTGACTTCTGACTTTGTCCACCCCAGTCCAACACCAGTGCCTCCACAACATGTTTGACTGGTTCTGCTTTTCAAACACTGTTGGTTTGCCTCAGCTGCTGGTGATCTACCCCTGAATCAGAAGACTGGGTTCAATTGTGGGTAGGAACTTGATTATATGATCTAGGCTGCCACTTCTGTGCAGTAATAAAAATGTGCTATACTGTCAGATACATGCACTTTCAATTGTAATTATGTTGGTGAAACAAAAATACTGCAAATGAAAAAGACACAGCAAAATAAATACAAAAGAATATCACAATGTTCTGAATTTTATAGGCAACTTTGTTTTTTTTGACACAAGCACCTTTATATTGTAGCTGGCTTGAAAAACATCTATTTAGGTTTTCATTTAGTGTTATTAAGAGGAACATTTGCTTCCAAATGCTGAATTTAGATTTCTACTTCTGCTGCTGCCCATTCAGGGTGTTGTGGCAACGTCTTCAGAAAGGAATTCAAATTAAAAGGCAATAAAAGCTTAGGTTATGAAGCCGGAATTGTCTCAATATGTTTGTTCAATCGATCACCGTTGATTGATAAGATCACAGCAGCAATTGTCACACTGCAGATATTCAAGCTGACTGTGGGCTGATTTACTGCAGGCACTTTTCAACAGAAATCACTGTGGGTTAGACTTTCCTGCAAGCATCTTATTTTCATACTAAGATTGATAATGGCTTTACTTGTACAGTATGTGTCTCCATATTTTAGAAAGATGTGAATGCATTGGAAGCAGTTCAGAGAAGGTTTACTAGACTAATGCCTGAGTAAGTGGGTTGGCTTACAGAGAGAGAGAACAACCTTGTATTCACTCGAGTAAAAGGTGATTTGTTTGGAAAATAAAAGATCCTTGTGGCTCTTGAGAGGGTGGGTTTGGAAACGATGTTTCTCTTGTGGGGGATTCAGAACTAGCGGTCACTTCTTAAACTAAATGTTATCCATTCAAGACAAAGATAATAAGCTTTTTGTTCACAAAAAGGTTCATAAGTCTTTGGCAACAACAACAGAAATTGCTGGAAAAGCTCAGCAGGTCTGGTGGCCTTTCCTCGAGGAAGGAAGGGCCATCGGACCAAAACTTTAACTCTGATTTCTCTTCACAGATGCTGCCAGACCTCCTTTTGTTCCTGATTTACAACATCTTCTTTTGGTTTTTAGTCACAAGTCTTTGGATCTCTCTTCCACCAGAGGAAGTGGAAGCAGAGTCTCTGCGTACTTTTAAGGTGAAAGTAAATAGATTCTTGACAAACAAGGTGGAGAAAGGTGATCAGTGTGGGTGGGAGTATCGAGTATTCATGTCAGCCAGGATGTTACTGAAGGGTGGAGTAGGCTCAAAGTGCCAAGTGGGCTTGCTTCTGCTCCTAATGTATACGTTTGTATGTTCACCATTCTGGTAGAAGTCTTGCACTTTTTAACTGCAAACGTTAACATCTTACATTTATGTAGCACTTTGTACACAGCAAAATATCCTTAGGAGCATTTTCAAAGAAAATCTGACCATATGCCTTACAAAAAGAGATATTAAGACAGTTGACCAATAGCTTGGGCAAACATTTAGGACTTTAAGAATGGTTTAAAGGAAAGGAGAGAGTTGGAATGCTGGCAACATTTAGGAGAGGAATTCTCAGACTTGGCGTTTATCCAGCAGAAGGGTGCTGACACCATTAGTGATGAAGGATGTATTAGAGGTCAGCATTTGCAGAGGGTAGATACCTTGGAGGGTTGTAAGTCTGGGGAATGTTACAGAGGTAGGTTTGTTAAGACCATGCAAGACATTGAGCACAAGGAGGGGGGGATTCTAGAACTGAAGCATTACCGTATCTGAAGGTCACAGAATACAGGATTTACTGATTAATGGGATTTAATTCATTAGGATTGTACATGAGTTCAAGCTTATGACATGGATGATGACAGACCAGCCAGGACTAATCAATTCTGAAAATAATACGTCAACAGTGAGGGATTCAACAGCAGATGGGCTCAGGCAGGGACACAGACAAGTGATGTTACAGAGGGTAAAAGTAGGTGATCTCAGTGATGATGGGGATTTGGGGCTGAATTTTAAGATGGCAGCAAGCTTTCCCCAATTGAAGAGAGAATAAGGATTGCAACTCCACCTGATGTCAGCATCCCACAATGTTTAACACTTCGAGGGCTGTTAATGAGCTGGAGGTAGGATCTCTGCCTCTCACTCAGGAGGAGGTCCAGCCTCAGAGAGTTGCTAGTCGATCCTACTGTCCCAGGGTCACCAGTAAGAATGGCACCCACTGCTGGAAGCTATCTTCAGTTCAGGTTCAAATTCAGGAGCAAGACAGGAAGTGGGGGCATGCTTTGGGGAGGTAGGGGTTGGTTGGTAGACAAGTGTTGAACATTGTAAGGAGGCCAGTATTATAGGATGATCTCTCCCCTCCCTACTTCCAGTCAGAGGACCATGCAGAGTGATGTAACATGCTTCCCCTCAGTTCGTGACTCCTCCTGTTGACTGAAAACTGTGGCAGTAAGTGGCACTTAATTGGTCAATAAAGGGCCACAATTGGAGCAGGAAGGCCTATGCACACCGTCCACAATGTTGCACACAGGTTAGGGTAGGTGAGATGGCCTGCTAACTGACCAGCAAAAGGCCATAACATGGCATCTGAAACTCTCTGAAGGGTTAACGAGGTTTCAAACTGTCTGGTTCAGCATCAGGCAATGGCCGGGGAAGGGAGTGGAGCCACTGCCTCGAGGACAAAGTTGTGGCGGGGTCTGAGGGCAATTACTTCTGTCTTCCCAGTATTTAATTGGAGGAAATTTCTGCTCATCTTATCCTATACACAAACAAGCAGTAGACCAGTCTGAGGCAGTGGAGGGGTTGATAGTGTGTGTGGGGAGATAGAGCTGTGAATCATTAGCGTACATGTGGAATGCGATGCTAAGTTTCAGATGACTTTGCTGAGAGGCATCTATAATGGTGTGATACAATTACAAGATTTAAAACGCACCTGCATGGGTATATGAATAGGAAGGGTTTAGAGGGATATCAGCCAAATGCTGGAAAATAGGGCTAGGTCAGATTGGGATGTCTGGTCGGCGTGGACAAGTTGGACCAAAGGGTCTGTTTCTGCGCTATATGACTCTAACTCTATGGTGGGAAGTGAAGCCATTGCAGGTGATTCTCTAGTTAACAGCTGGATAGATAAGAGAAAGAGACAAAAGAACATAAGAAATAGGAGCAGGAGTAGGCCATTCAACCCCTCAAAACCTGCCTCACTTCTATAGGATCATAGCTAACCTACCTCAGGCCCCAAATCATCTTTTGTGACTGTTCC